GAGAATATGTCCATAGCTCAGTCTTATCATGGTGCAGACAATGTCACGGTAGGAGACGGCAATTCGGTGCCAATAGCGCACACAGGGTCCGGCATTTTACCGACCCCTAGCCGTAAGCTGCGCTTGTCGCAACTTCTTCACACTCCATCTCTTAAATTTAATCTATTATCTATTTCTCAACTAATCAGAGACAATAACATCTCTATAATTTTTGACCCTAATGGTTTTATGTTGAAGGATCTTGCGACACAACAAACTTTGCTCACAGGACCATGTAATGGCGGCTTGTATAAAATTCCAATCCAGCAGCCACAGCTCAGTCCGCATGCTCTTTTCGTCTCCAAGAACGAAGCTCAAGTCTGGCATCACAGACTTGGGCATCCTCATAAAAGAATTTTCGATTTCATTTCAAACAGTTATCCTGTATTACATATGAATAAACAAACTTTTGATTGTTCTTCGTGCATTGCCTCCAAATGTCATAAACTTGCGTTTGACAATTCTCTCAATCGTCAAACACAACCGTTGGCTATCATCCATTCGGATGTCTGGGGGCCTGCACCTACATCTTCTAATCAAGGATTTAGATTTTATGTTCTATTTGTGGATGATTTTTCTAGATATTCGTGGTTATTTCCAATTCAATATAAATCTGATGTTTTTCAAACGTTTGTTAATTTCAAGAACCACATTGAGCGGTTTACCTCGCATAAAATCAAGATCTTGAGGACAGATGGCGGATCAGAATATGTTAATTCTGAGTTCAAGAATTACCTAACTACTCATGGAATTGCCCATCAGTTATCGTGTCCATATACTTCTGAACAAAACGGGCTGGCCGAAAGGAAGCATCGCCATATAATCGAAACAACAAGAACTCTGTTGCACACGGCAGCAGTCCCTCACGTTTACTGGCCTGATGCGGTGCTTACTTCAATTTTTCTTATTAACAGGTTACCGTCAATGACTCTCAACAAGAAATCTCCGCTTGAACTTATGTTCAATAAGCAACCTAACTACTCCAGATTAAAAGTTTTCGGCTGTGAATGCTATCCGCTGCTTCCTAAGCACACGAGAACCAAACTTCACCCAAAATCCCAGAAATGTGTCTTTCTGGGATATTCGGATCAATACAAGGGATATCGCTGCTTAAATATTTCATCAAACAAACTAACGGTATCAAGACACGTTCAGTTTGTTGAGAATTCTTTTCCGTTCTCAGATAATGTCTCCTCATCTCAATGCTATCCTAATAATATATGTCCGTTTTTATTAACTCCTGTTTCTCTTAGTAACTTGCCTAGATCTAATGTTCAATCGAATCAAAGTTTCACTACAGATCACTGCAGTAAACAGCTACATGTTGCCGAAGCTGCTCACGATCATCCGATACAGGTGCCCAGCTCCACAGAGAAAATTCAGTTGGTTAACACTCAATTTCAACCTCACCCAATGACAACAAGAAGTAAAACGGGGTCATTAAAACCCAAGTCTCGTATGAATTTACTTCACCATCACAATACGCTGGACGTTCAAATTGATCCGACCACTTTCACCGAGGCTTCGAAATCAATTCATTGGCGTAATGCAATGGCTGCTGAAATTATGGCGCTACAGAAACAAGGAACGTGGTCTCTAGTTGAACCTCCGGCTAATGCATCAATTCTCGGCAGCAAATGGACTTATAGAACAAAATTTCTTACATATGGTTCGGTTGGCAGATACAAAGCCAGATTAGTTGCTCAAGGCAATAATCAAGAGTATGGTCTTGATTACACAGAAACGTTCAGTCCAGTAGTTAAACTGCCAACAATACGCGTCATGCTGGCTGTAGCTCTATACAATAACTGGAATGTGCAACAACTGGATGTGGCTAATGCATTCTTGCATGGCAATCTAATGGAAACCATCTACATAAGACAACCAAAAGGCTTTGAGGATTCTTCAAAACCGAACTTTGTTTGTCGCCTCAACAAAGCTATTTATGGGCTAAAACAAGCACCTCGCCAGTGGTACAACACGTTCACATCTTTTCTCATTACGCTTGGCTTTACTCATAGTCAAGCGGATCCTTCTCTCCTTCTATACACGAGCAAACAAGTAAAAATTTTCTTACTTATTTACGTTGACGATATATTAATTACCGGCAATGATAATACTTTTATCTCCTCTATTCTTACCAAACTTAACTCATCCTTTGCTATGAAACATCTAGGTGAAGTTCACGACTTTCTTGGCATTAAGATTTCTAAATCTGATTCTTCTTATTTTTTTATCTCAGGCTAACTATGCACATAAAATATTACTACAAGCCAATCTCTCTCAATGCAATGGGCTAGCAAACCCAATGTGTACCAAATTCCCAGCATACATCAAACCGGACTCGTTCTCCTCGGATCCGGTGTTCTACAGGAGTATTACAGGAGCTTTACAATACCTTACTTTAACACGTCCAGATATCTCATTTAGTGTTAATCTACTGTCACAAAATATGCATAATCCTGAACCTAAACATTTCTTTCTTCTTAAACGACTTTTAAGATATATTAAAGGATCTATACATTTCGGTCATCCTATTACAAGAACTGATCTCGTTTTAAAATCCTTTTCAGATGCAGATTGGGCAGGAGATCCGGTCACTCTAGGAAATCCACCACAGGATTCTGCTCGTTTCTTGGTAGCTCCCTTATTTCGTGGACGGTCAAGAAACAGCGCACGGTCTCAAGATCCTCGACGGAATCCGAATTTCGTGCGCTAGCAGCTCTTACATCAGAAATTATATGGCTTAGAAGACTATTAACTGATTTCGGCATATCACAAAATTACTCTACAAATTTATTTTGTGACAACATGTCTGCAATAGCTCTCGCTAACAATCCTGTTTTTCACTCAAGAACAAAGCACATAGAAATTGATCAAAAATTTCTACGAGATCATATTCTTCAAAACAATATCAATCTGCATCCTATCAGCACGATTGATCAAGTGGCTGACATTTTCACCAAGCCCTTGTCTACTCCACGTTTTCATCAACTTCGTCTCAAATTGACGATCATTCAAGATCCATCAATTTGAGGGGGCATATTAGGAATAAATACGTGGTTTACTGTTAAATAGAATTTAGATTGTTCTTAGGCATACTTGTAATTACTATCATATACATTATAACCTTTATCTATATAAAGGTTCTCGGTCTGTACAACAATGCAAGATAATAATAATATACTTTCAAGTTCTCTCTCTATCTTTCTTTAGATTCTTGTAGTTCTTCACGTGGCGACACCGGATTGGTGTTTGGACGAATCCGGACACCGGACGCAATAATTTGCCTATAATTAAAGAGGTTAACAAAAGCTCCCGAATAATCTATTTCATAGGCTAAAATCTTCGTAAATTGATCCCTTCTTTGCACATGAAAGGGGGTTGGGATATTTGGAAGCTTAGATCATGGACTAGAAATTTAAGAGAACTCTGAGGTTTGAACCATCCTAGAGAACCATCACCATCAGACCACCACCTTTGATGGACGTCTGTCGACCATCTCCGTCGAACCTCCGCCCGACTTCCATCGTCGTACATTCGTCCAACCTTCGTCGCTCGCGGACTATGCATGGTCCCTTCGACCACCGTCGCCAGCCAACTATTATCCCTCCGATCACAATCACCCAACGACTATGGTCCCTCCAACCCCCATCGCTCGTGGACTTCGGTCCCTCATACCATTGTTTCTTGCTGTCTTTGGTCCCTCCGAACTCTATCACCTGTTGACAATGATTCATCCAACCTCCCTCACCCACCAACTACGGTCCCTCCAACCACCGTCGCTCGCCGACTACTGTCCCTACGACCCCAGTCTCCTAACTATGGCCCCTCTAAAGTCTATAGCCCAACTATGATCCTACCGACCAAACAAATAGCCAACATTCTTTGAGAATGACTCTCATATCACTAGATTCTTCATACTCCCATTATGTAATGTGTTATATATTTTCTATATTGAGCCAAAGCCTTTCTTTGATGAAGGGCATCATTTGCAATCAACAAATACTTGTGGATTCATTTCAACAGGGCAAGACATATGATTTTTCTCCTTTTTCAGGATTTTCCACATAAAAATTATGGTGTTTCCTATGATTCTTTCACCTCTCTCTTTATATCCATATTTACTGAATCTTCGTTTAAAACTAAGACATTAATCTATTTATCTCTCTACCGTTCCGAATCTGAGCTAATCCTTCCAAAAAAAAAATCATAGAGCCCTTATTTCTCTCTCTTCCTAAAACCCTTGTTTTTTTAACTTGATCTAGCTATATCAACAAAAAATTATTTATATTACTTCAAAGAATGGATCAAAGAATACATCCAACAACTCTATATATTTATGTCATAATCCTCCCTCACTTTCAGCCACAGTGTTCCACACTTCTGATCTCATCAAATCAGGCCACCTGTGCAGCTGCGCCCATTGTTAAAAACATATGATGCATGCAGGACAACCACTCCATACAATATAAAATATAGGTAATGTAGATAAAATATTCTTTTACTCTATACTTCTCATCGTCAGACTTGTATTCTTTTCAGCTCTGATATAATATTATTCATTTTAATACCACTCAGTGCTACACCTGTCTCTTCATTTGCCCAAAGTGCGTCCCTTAAAGCGCCATGTGGCGTTGGCAGAAGCAGTCATAACGTTCTTTTTTTTTTTTAAATAAAATTAATGAAGATTAGTGATGCACACCTAAACATCTCAACATTGGTTTTAGCTTTTGATGACAGCAGGTCAGTTCCCGTCAACTAAATTTAATCGCACAAACAAACGCTTGGAAGATAAGCATCAAATTGCTTTTTAAAAAGTTTCTGAGAATGCCATCTTGACCTGCTATTGCTTTAGCCCATCAAACGATTCCACCCTACAGCATAAATTAACTCATCATCTGCTATATATCTGAAGCTCAGATATTTGCTACAGTTATTTCTCTTCTGCAACAAATTTTCAATTGATTGTTCTGTTAATGGCGGGCTCAGGAGGCTCACAGGCGCCATCTGTTCCACCGACGTCCTCGACTTTGCCGGCGATTGTGTGTTGTATGTGCGGCGATCTCGGGCTCCCTGAACAGCTCTTTAGATGCAAGTCATGTATCTTTAGATCCCAACACAAGTGAGAAAAAGCTTAGTTCTTTCTTGTTTCTGCTTTGTTTTAGCCTGCATCGATCAATTATGCAAAATTTGAGACCAAGTAATCTGGTTGGAAATACTGTAGAGATCGATTTTCTTTCAAATGATTGATTGCAAGAAGCTCTATCTGAATCATCGCTCATTTTATTTCTAGATTGATGCTTGTTTAGAGATATGTATTCATAGATCATTTATAAAATCTTTTAGAACAGTGAAGAACAGAGTGATGATAAAGATAGGAGTCTTTAGACCATCTCCAACTGAACTCCGTACCATCGCATGCCATCCATCATTTGCTTCATTCGAACTCTAAATCGCACGTCAAATTACGGTAGGCGAACAGTGCGACGCAAATATTGCCGTCAGACTGTTCACCTACGTCAAAAAAATTCAATGCGGGATTTGCCGAAGAGGCGCACGAAAGAGGAGAAAAATGCGCCAAAGATGACTAGCTTCGCAGTTAGCACGAAAGATGAAGAAATGACATTCGAATGGAGAAAAATGACTACATTTTGAAGTGGAAAATGGATTTTTAGGTTGGAGATCTTATAGATAGTTTCATGAGGATTTTGCTGTCACAGAGTAATATTAGGGTTTATTGTAGAAAAAAATTGTCTTAAAATAAATTTTTAGATAAATATAATATGAATCTTGATTAATTGTTTTATATTAAAAAAAATCTTTATTTTTATTTATAGAATTTGGAAAAAAAATATTTTTTTGGACGTTTTGTAAAACATCAGATAATTATTTCTGCAGATATTGCAGCGAGCTGTACCCAAAGGCAGAGGCATACAGTAACTGCAACTGGTGTCTGAGAGAAGCGCGAGGTAAATCGATCGCCGGCGAACCTATGTCGGATGGTAGCAGCAGCTCGTCTTCCTCCGGCGAAGCTCTTCTCATGGCGTCGAAGCTACAGCGAGGAGTTCCTTTACTGCATCTCACCATTAAGCCTGTGAAGAAGCTGAAGCTGGCTGCGGAAGGATTGCCGCCGCCTGCGACGAAATCGGAGGTGAAGGAGAAATCAAATATGGTGTTGACCGGTTCAGGAAGGGTAATTAGGCAGCCTTTCAGAGGCAGAGTGAGAAGGTATAAGCTTCTTGAGGAGGTCTCAAGCTGATCCATTGATGAGTAAATTGATGGAAGGTTTTTTATATATAAATAAGTTTAATGATTGACAGAGAGAGAGAGAGAGATGATGATGATCAAAATGATCTCTTATTATATATGAAGGATCAAAATCATATGTAAGTATTTAAAAATCTCATTTTAGTTTATTGAATTTTTAAAATAAGGATCTAAATGATCTCATGAAGAACTAATTTGATCTTTATTTAAAAAGTCAAAGATCAAAGTGATACTTTATATAATCTAAAACTACTTTGTCTTAGTTTAGAAATTATTTTGTGCAGCACCGAATGTTGTCCAGAGTTGAATCATGATGCGTCACATCACTTTTTTGTTATGTATCATTGCTATGTATCAGGTGATGATGTGTACTTTGATTGGTCTCTGGATGATCCGATGACCGCACAGAATAATTTTCCTCTTAGTTGATAGTCAAAACTTCTAATCAATATCTCAAGTTGAGCTGCATGAGTGATTGATGAATGATGGAAGCGGGTTTGAGTTCAATGAATGTGTGGGACCGAATTGGCGGTTGTCGATCAGGGCATGGTATTTATGAGGGAGCATCATTGGGGTCCAATTTTGGTCGGCCATAGTTTAGATGAGACCTGATAAATTATTGGACGCAATATAGGTTTGTTGGCGGCATTAATTAATTATGGTAATGGTTCATCATTGTGTTAATTGTTAATTAGAATATCTTGTTGCATAATTAAGCATTAAGTCAAACTAATGAGCATTATAAATTAATATTTAATTAATGGGCCTGCACTGAAGGGTTAGTAGACATAATAAAACATTAAGTGAAGGATTAGATAGATTATATTAATTTAGTCTTTGGGAGATTTTTTTTTTGGGATATTTAGGTCATTTAAGGCAAACTCATACACAAAGACTTGAACCCTAGACCTCTTAGTTGGAAGCCTAAGCTGTCAACCAACAGGTCAAGGTGAGGACGGACGTAGCTCTACATCCGGATGCCAATAACATGTCGTCAAGTGCTCTTACTTTTTACCACGCGGCCCGACGGCCCGACCCGGAACGGAACCCGGTATTGCTATGTTCGTGTATTGCTAGGTATTGTTCGGTATTGCTTGGCAATAACGAGAAATGCCGCTATGTCAAGATCAATACCGAGTAATACCGAGCAATACCTAGCAAAACCGGGGTATTTCTCGGTATTACTCGATATTGCTAGGTATTTGTGTTGACGAAATGATATTTCTCGTTACCGAGCAATACCTAGCAATACACTGATCTGCACAAATTAGCTAATACATAGCAATACAAGTTTTGGTCTGAGTGGGGTCATCGGGCCGCGTGGTAAAGAGTAAGAGCATGTGGCGACATATTATTGACGTACGGATGTTGAGCTACGTCAGGTGTCCTGACTAAATAAAAGTTATAGTTGGAAGCCTAAGCTGTCAACCAACAGGTCAAGGTGAGCTCTGTTCTCTGGGAGATTCTGAATTGGGCTTAATGAGTTAGATTAATAATGTCTCTATGAGAATCTGAAGTTGGGCTGAATAAGTGACTGTGATGATTTGAACTTCTTGCAATTTAGACTACGCAAGCTTTTAGCGGCCTAGTATAGGACATTGTCAAGTTGATGAATAATTAGCCTTACTCGACCCTTACAATTAACTAGTTGAACTTGTTTAAGGATTTATGTACTAACCCCCTTAAAAGGCTTACTCCCCAAAGGAAATTGGACACTTAAAAACTTCTAGGATAACCAACCTAGTAAATCATTGACATTTAAACATCTTTTTCACACATACATAAGCTTTGACTCCAAGATCTCTTGGTTGATAACCAAAGCTCTCAACCAACAGATCAATGTATGCAACTTACCTTAGTTGTTGGTTGGGAGCTTTGGCTATCAATTAAGAGGTCTTGAATTCGAGCCTCTCGTGTATGCTGTAGTAGTGAGTTAATTTGTTTTAATCGACCTAAATGTTAAAAAAAAAAGCATTTTTATCTGCAAATCCTCTTCATATTGGCCTCGTGATTAAAACAACTCTAGGCAAAAAGAAAGTTCAACGGCATTGTCTCTAAATCCATAGTGAAGCATCTCTTATCTTCTTCTTATTCTTCTTCTCTCTCTCTCATTTCTTTGCTCTTCTACTTTTTTATCTCCGACTTCGCATGATCTTTACACAGTAATGATAATTTTTCAATGATCGTCTCTATATTTTAGTTGTTTTTTTTAAAAATATTTTATACAACAATTTAAAAAAAAAATAATATATTTACAACAGCTTTACAAAATAATAAAAAAGTTATTTCAAATAAATTTTGATTAGTCTAATGCTAAGATTCTCGTCAATACTAAAATCTTAATTTTTTAAAAAATATGTGCTATTGCATGCTGATGCAAACAAAGCCAAAGCCTACGACCTTATACTTTTATTGGCCTAAAATTGAGACTATAAAAATGAATCAGTTGATTTAAAAATAAAAATTAGAAATGATTATTATTTTTATTAATATAATATTTTTCTTAGAATTTAGAGGACGCAAAATACAAATTTGTATCTCCTAACTTTTCAGTGAACCAAACGCATCAAATATTTGCTGTTAAAAAGTTCACATTTACGTTTCTATTTAAGAAATTACAAATTCAAAGGCTTCTACAAAGAAAATTATTCAAATTGTGTAAAAGAAGCCTTATGAAGTTGCAAATATAAGGAAGAAATTCTTTAATATTTAAATTATATTAAACATTCTTCAATCTAGATTTAACTATATTATTACAACTTAATATTAATTAAATTTTATGCATTTTCATGTATGAAGATAATTTAGAAAAAATAAAATAAAATAAGATGATAATTTTTTATTTTTTTATTTTTTTGCATGATCTTTGGTAATATAAATTAAGAAGGATATTACAATTATTTTTAAGGTAGAATTAATGGTTTATAATGTTCATGCAATAAAGAGCAATTATCAGCCATCGCTTTAGATGTCGAAACGCCTTTTGCTTCCTCTGCTAGGGTTTCCGCCGTCACAATGAGTTTTGGCGTTTTGGTTGCTGTTCCTTCCCATTTTTCTTCAGTTTTTTTGGTGTTTGCCTCATGGCTTCCATTCGCCTGCGTGATCCCGGCTTCCTGAAGGGGGCTGCTGCTCCTCTTTCTTTTAAAGACGCTTTAGCTGTTATTTCTTCTACTTTTCCTGAGTTATGCGTTTCTTCTCATCGTGGTTTGCCGGCTCTGTTAATTTCTAAGGAAGAAATTCGTTCCCTTGCGGCCCCTTTTGATTTCGCTTTGGTTGGCCGTTTTCCGGGAAGGCGTCCGCCGGTTGACGCGATTCAGAATTTTTGTTTTAATTTAAAGCTGATTGGAGAATTTTCGGTCACTGTTCTTAATCACCGGAACGTTTTGATTAAGTTAATGAACGATTTTGATTATTGCCGCATGTTTTCCCATAGATCTTACTTTGTGAAAAATTGTTTTATGAAAGTGGTGAAATGGTCTCCCAATTTGGATGTTGAGGTGGAGTCCCCTATTGTGCAGATTTGGGTGTCTTTCCCTCTTCTTAGACCTCATTTGTTTTCTCCTAAAATCCTATCTGGATTAGGTTCTCTTTTCGGTAAACCTCTCAAGTCGGATATGGCCACTGCTTCGGGCTCTTGTCCGTCCATGGCGCGTATCATGGTTGAATTGGATGTTACGAAGAAATACCCTGATAAAATTTGGGTTGGTTCTGTGGAAACGGGCTATGTTCAATCAATTGTTTTTTATGACATTCCGCTATTCTGTATGCATTGTTAGTCCTTAGGTCACTTTAAGGATAACTGCCATGTTTTACATCCTATTGCTAAACCTGCAGTGGCTTTGTCTGAGAAACCGGATGTGATTGTTGGTAATTCTAAGGTGGTTAATGATGTGATGGATGTTGTCGTTAAGGATCCTAATGTTGATGCAACTATGGTATCTCATAATGCTATACATTGTGTTCCCCCTTCTTTGGATCGAAGACCTCCGGTGATTAATTTTCTTGCGGTGTCTAATAATCTAGCTCCATGCTCTGTGTCGAATTCTGATGTTGGTTTTGGGGCTTTACCTTCTGGTGAGCCCTCGGGGTATTCCCCTGTGGCTGGTTTTGTCCCTGTTGCTTTGGCTGGTGGTCATTTGGAGCTTGGCATGAATTCTCCTAAGTGTGTTGTTAACTGTAATAACCCGGATATGCTTGATGTTGGCGTCAATTTGTTGGATGTTGATGTTTCTTCATTGTATCCTAATGCCATTCCTTTTATTCCCTCGTGTTTGGTGGACGGCTTTGGTCCGTCGGATGTGATTGTGGACTCTTTGGCTGTTGGTCTGGTGGAGGAGTTAGCCTCGGCTCCTGTTATTGATGCGACTTCTCTTACCGAGGGTGGAAGGGGGTCTGGTGGTTCGCCTGTTTTGGGTGTTGTGGAACCAAATGGGTGTGGTCAGGTTTTTGATAAACCGGAAGGTGGTGCTGCTGTTAATTTGTCTGTTGAATCTTTTCCTGTTGGGTTTGAGGTTGAGCCTCCGGCTTTCTTTCTGTTCAAAAGCCATGTACTATATCTGTAGATGATTATTTTGAGGAAAAGAAAGAAAATATAGATGTTTTGTTCCGCTGTGTTTGATGATTCATAGTAGCTCTGTGTTTGTGTGTCTGTTGAGTTGATTAATTTGGAAGATTCAGTTCAGGAACCAATTCCAAAGCCAGATCATGGATAAGAAGGTTTTGTCGCGATCCGGCTCGGGCGGGATCCGTCCCCGTCGGGTCGGGTCGTGACATGGCGAAGGAGATTCCGAAACAATAGCAACTGCATTATGAACAATAGGGACCTGAATCGGAGCAACCAACTCCACCGGCATCAAATCCACATTAACCTGAGATAGAGGATCCACCACACACAAAGATTTCTCACAAAGATTCACAGAAGGAACCACGGCAGCAACCCCTTTGGTAAGACAAATACCATATATCCAATGAATTAACCAGCAATACCGCAAGGGATATAGCATTAGGAGACATCACAGTAGCCACAACATCATAATTATTGGCAACAGCCTCCA